AGAAAGGTTTAAGATTATACAGTACTTAAATAGAGGAAAATGCACACTCATGTTGATTCCTATGCTAAAACACATTTATGGTCTTTTTTCTGTATTTCTAGAATGGTATTTGAATTCAATGTTCATCTAGTGTTAGGCACTATAGTATTTATATTGAAGCTTGTATTTTTAACTGTTGCTTGTTCTCTTAAAAGGTATCAATGTACCTTTTTTGGTAGTGGAAAAAAAAAAAAGACAGGCTGCCACAGTATATTTTTTTAATTTGGCAGGATAATATAGTGCAAATTATTTGTATGCTTCAAAAAAAAAAAAAAAAGAAACAAAAAGTGTGACATTGTACAGATGAAAAGCCATATAATGGCCGTTTGGGGGATCCTGCTAGAATGTCACACGGATGGCTGTCATAGGGGTTGTACATATCCTTTTTCGTTCCTTTTTCCTGCTGCCATGCTGTATGCAGTACTGCAAGCTAATAACGTTGGTTTGTTATGTAGTGTGCTTTTTGTCCCTTTCCTTCTATCACCCTACATTCCAGCATCTTACCTTCATATGCAGTAAAAGAAAGAAAAAAAAAAAGGAAAAAAAAAAAACCAATGTTTTGCAGTTTTTTTCATTGCCAAAAACTAAATGGTGCTTTATATTTAGATTGGAAAGAATTTCATATGCAAAGCATATTAAAGAGAAAGCCCGCTTTAGTCAATACTTTTTTGTAAATGGCAATGCAGAATATTTTGTTATTGGCCTTTTCTATTCCTGTAATGAAAGCTGTTTGTCGTAACTTGAAATTTTATCTTTTACTATGGGAGTCACTATTTATTATTGCTTATGTGCCCTGTTCAAAACAGAGGCACTTAATTTGATCTTTTATTTTTCTTTGTTTTTATTTTTTTTTATTTGGATGACCAAAGGTCATTACAACCTGGCTTTTTATTGTATTTGTTTCTGGTCTTTGTTAAGTTCTATTGGAAAAACCACTGTCTGTGTTTTTTTGGCAGTTGTCTGCATTAACCTGTTCATACACCCATTTTGTCCCTTTATTGAAAAAAATAAAAAAATTAAAGTACACAATGTAAGCTTCTTGTGTCCTCATTTGACACACTCTGTAAATTACTTTCAAGAAAATAACAGGTTTTAAGAGAAGGCCAGTCAGACTTTTTCAGGATTATTTCTATGGGCATTTTGATGCGTGTATTATATACTCTAAAGGAACATAAAGTATTTACTATAGTAAAATAGATATATCTCAAACCATGGAAATAGTTTTTAGGCTTTACCATTTTAGAATAATTTCAAGAAATGGAAGGTGCTTTCAGTCTGAAGTTTAAAACTTTTGCTCCATATCTTAGTGGAAATCCATTCAGATATAAGTGAAAAACTTGCTGGTGATAGCATCTTAAAGTTTTATTTCCTTTGGATTTTTTGCTCTTCTTGTCTAAAAGTTCTTTTCTATTCTCCCATCCTTGCCCTATCTTAGAACATAATGCTTAAAAGGTTTTTTAAAAGTCAGCTTTTCAGTTTCCACATAAGAGTATTTCCTCATAACAAAAAAAACCCCACTCCTCAAATCTAAATAACTAGAAACAAAGGCATCAGTTTTTTGTTTTTGTTTTTTTTGTTGTTGTTGTTTTGTTTTGTTTTAAAAGGAAGGAGAAGGAAAGAGGGAAAGAAAGGAAGAAAAAGCAGCAACCAGGAGTTTAGCTGGACCTCCCAGTCTCTGGAATCAGCCACTGATTTCCTGAGATGCATAGGATGCCTTCTAGTTCTGAGGCCCCAAGGACCCTAGATACTATAGATTGTTTGAAGTGTTTTTATAGGGTCTTCCTGGCTGACAGCAGATGAGGGTGGGAATACCCCTTCAATGATCTTTTCTCCAACAGAGAGGTTTATGAAATGTCTTTGAAAAGCAAGTTAGGTCTACTTTTAAAACCCCTCCTTAGAAATCTGTATCGTCAGTTTTACAAACACTGCGTGTTGCCGCATCTATTTGCTTTATTAAAACACATACCTCTGTGATACTGTCTCCCTCTTCCCAATATAGATGAATGGATACCACGTCGTTCTTATTTTTGTAAAAACTGAAACAAAAGCTGTTCTGTTGTCTTCTTGTGATAGCATTTTTTTGTTGCTCAGTTCTTATGCCCTAGTGCCTGTAAGGTGGCCTTTTCATGTGATGCCTTTTATCTGAGGCAAGAATAGTTTTATTTTCCTAAAGTACATAGAAAGTAGGTTTTCTTTTTCTTTTTCTTTTAAAGCTAGTTTGGTGGGAAGCAGGTTAGAACAGAGGGAAATTGACTGAGAGAGGATTTGGGGGAATATTGCGTAGGAGTTGGGCTGGGGTAAGGTTAGGGGGTGCCGAGGAGAACTTGATGTCAGTGAACTGAGGAAAAGATCTACTCTAAAACTGAATCCAAAATGCTGTTCAAGACAGAAATATACCTCAGTGCCATTCTGGTTTTAGACGTGGTGACTTCGGTCCCACTGTATTGAATGTCCATGAAACCTCCGTGTGTCCCTATTACTCTTTTATTAGGACCATGCATGAGTGCAGCTGTGTGAGTTTTATGTAGAGTATTCATTTTAATTTCTCAGTGTATGATGCTCTTAGTGTAATTAGGTTTTGTGTCCTGACAGAATTAATGGTGAATACTGTATACTTATCTGTTCAAATTTCTTTAATCAAATGGTGAATGTGGAGGGGTGCAAACACCTGGTGATAAATTACAGATTATGTTTGATTTACGCAGTCCTAAAGTTAAATAAATTTATTGGGAGACAGCTTCTTCAGGTTACTTTAATCTCCTGACTTATTGAAGCTTTCCGATAAAATATTTCTGAAACTGAGTGAACAACGGAAGCATGAAAACTAGCCAATGAGAATATAATTTACGAATGACATTTTGTGTCTGGAACTCTAAAATTTAAAATCTTAATATAAAGTAACATAAAAAAAGTCCTACAGTAAGATGAATTCATACTTTTTAAATGAGGAAATACTAAGAACAATATCTCTCAAAACTCTCAAGTAAGTTTTTGTAACATTCTTGATGTGCTGATGGAATGTTCTCTGTGGACCTGAACTCCTGGTGTCTAAAATTTCCCTTTTTATCTTCAGTTTGAGAACAACTTCCATAAACAGGAATACAACAAATAGTATTTCTCGCAGATTTTAAGACAGAAACTCTTCCAGCGCACACTCCCTCCTTCCTGAGACTATTTGCTGTCCAATCTTTGTTTAGGACCTGCAAAAGGAGTGAAACAAGCACTTTTTAAAGATTACTAATGAGTGAGGTGAACATCGTTCTTCACTTGTATCTGCCATGGCAGGAAGCGGGAAGGAGTTGAGTTTTTCCCAGGGTATTCTGTGGATAGAGCTGTTTATTTAAATATCATTTTTGTATATGCAATAAGTACATACTGTATATATTCATAATTCTCGAAGTAAGAATTTGAAAGGAAGTGGTGGGGTGGATTAGGTATAATTTCAGTTGGAGAAATAAGGAAATGAGGTGGTTTATTCACAGACACTGAAAGTTTGCTGAAAGGTACTGGGATTATTTGGAGCAGTCCTGAAAAGGAGTTGAGAAGCCTCAGACCCCGTTCTGTCCTGCATTTTGGCACTTTATTCACAGAAAGTGAGCAAGGAAATAGTTGTTTTTTTGTTTTTTGTTTTTTTTTCTCTTTTTGTAAACCTCTTTTCTCCCCTTCACACACACATACACGCAAACATGATTTCTTCTGACTGTGTCATAATCGTGTGTTCTTCATTACAATTCTGTTACTCCATTGTCCCTGGGCCTGGTGTGTATAAGAATGTACCCAACCCATTCTCTCTCTCTCTCTCGTCCTGCATTTTGGCACTTTATTCACAGAAAGTGAGCAAGGAAATAGTTGTTTTTTTGTTTTTTGTTTTTTTTTCTCTTTTTGTAAACCTCTTTTCTCCCCTTCACACACACATACACGCAAACATGATTTCTTCTGACTGTGTCATAATCGTGTGTTCTTCATTACAATTCTGTTACTCCATTGTCCCTGGACCTGGTGTGTATAAGAATGTACCCAACCCATTCTCTCTCTCTCTCTCTTTTTTTTTTTTAGACAACTTTCCATTAAGAAAAAAAATTGTAGGAACTTTATGGCGTATGAGGATGGGATTGGCAGTGTTCTTTCAACTGCTGACTTGTAAAAGGCATGAGCCACTTAGCACACAACTCTGACGTGTCTCCTAAGGCCCTGCCGCTTTCCCAATTAAGGGTAAAAGAACCCAGTTTTAGAGGAATGGCCATCAGAACATGTACATGGGGTTGGGATTGTGTACATTCACTTCAGGGCTGCTGTTGCTACACTTGGCAGACATGGGTTGTCGGGTGTGCACTTTGGCATGTTCGCCCGGTAGCGGCTGTTTCATTTACTACCGGGCATGGCCAGTGAATCAGCCTGGAGGGGGATGGGCCTGTTTCTCTCTCTCTCTCTATTTCCCAGTGTCATCTGCAGTCATGGGATCCGATTAATTCCTCCCTTCCAAATGGGAAAGGAGACCAATACAGTTCACACGGGTCATTGGACTTAAGTACCTAAACTTGGCTGAACACAACTCCATGGTCGATCCAAATACTGTTTTTCCTTTCTGTAAAGTGGCAAAAACTTGAAAGGGAGCGCATGTATCAGGTCTTTCTTAGAGACAGCAGAGAAGGCAAATTAAGCAATTTCCCCCAAGTATCCGTAAAGCCAGAGCCCTCCAAGCCACGCGGGGACTGTGCTTTTCTGTCAGGTGACCAGTACAGGCCTGGCTGTGCTTTGTCTTCTAGGGCTTTAAATATCCGTAGCAGGTCGGACAAAGGGGTTCGACTGGGGCATCAGCTCCAGGGGCCTCCACGACAGAGACTTAGCTTTGGACTGGGAATGGGATTCCCAGGGCCCACCTGGACACAGCAGGCCCCTGAGCCCCGGTCTCCCCTGCTCAGGGGGGGATGCGTGAGAGCTGTGAGCTCCAGACCCCGGGCCTCCTGCGGCGCCAAGTCAGGGGAGAGGAGGCCCCAGGCCCCTGCTTCGGGTCGCCATGGCAACGAGGCCTGGAATGCCACAGTGGTAGCCCTCTTCCTCGGCACATCCGGACTCCCCGTTCTGCTGCTTCAAGTCAATGTCCTCTGCAAGGGAAGAACCCCGGAGGAAAATAACCACTCCCTCCTTCCCTGCATCATTGCTTCCCCCCCTTACAAAAAACGAAAAAGAGAAAAGAAAACTGCATGTTTGAAAGAAACTCCAGGCAGTTTTTGGTGCCATTTGAGAGCAACTGTTTTGGGTTCTGGTTTTCTCTTCGGAGATTTGTTCGCCTCTTGTAAATCGTTGGCTGCTTTGACGTTGAACTCGATGACATTTCATGTTTTCGTTGTGCTGCTTTTACATCAATTTTGATTTTTTTGTTTCTTTCTAATTTCGTTATGATTTTAAGAAAATGTCCCCCTGCCCTCCTCCCTCCCCCCGCTCTCCTCAGCCAAAGGACTGTTTCCTACTCAGTTTTCTCAGTCATAAGAGAAAGTGTGTCCTTCCAGGTGTGTCCCGAGTTATTAGGATGCTCATGTGGTTTGGGTAGGGGGCTGGGGTCCCTTGGGGGATGGAAGGGAGGGAGGTGTGGGAAGGCCACTCAGAGGTCAGAGCTATGTGGGGAGGGGAGATAGAGTTTGAAATGTTGAAGATGCCAGTGGCTCAGCCTGTGGTTGATTTAACTTCTGATTTTAAAAAGCTAGTTAGAGGACAGAAAATCACTGGGCCAAGTCACACCTGTACTTTTTTTTTTCCCCCTCCTCTGTCTCCAACCTCTTTCTAGGTTCTTCACACACCCCCATTCGGCGTAGTACCCAGAGAGCTCAAGATGTGTGGCAGTTTTCGGATGGAAGCTCGAGAGCCCTTAAGTTCTGAGAAAATTTGAAGCCCCCAGGGGCGGGGTGGACGTGTGCCGCCCAGCCGACGTCAGCGTGGTCTGTCATCCTGCTAGTTTGTGATGTTTTCTGACAGTAGCCTCCAAGAAGCCGTGTTGTGCGAAGACAGAGTCCTGCAGAGTCCGTCCGGCCTGGGCCTGCAGTGCCATTTTATTTATATTTTTTAATAAAAAGTAAAAACAAAAAAACAGACCCACATTGGAACAGTGAATCAGTCCCGTACAGAGGGCCTGTGGACCATCGCTGTCCTCAGTGATGTCCGGCCTTTTTGAAACCAGCCAACCTAATTGCCCGTATTGTGGAAATGAGCATGAGTCCCCAACCCCTTGTTTCTATACATTCTATGTTGTCTTTTAAAAAGTGTGCTTAACATTGACACAATAAATGTTGGAGCTTTAGGTGGTGTCTGCTTGTTCTTTCATTTCGAATGCTTACCGAGACAGTGTAGCTGTTTATGACTGCGTATTTCTGTACCTGTGTCCTACAGACACCCATTGGGGTGGGTAGGAGGACCAGATCTGAGGACTGGGTAGGAGACGTAGGAGGGGAGATAGGTTACTAATGATCAGATGGCATAAATTTTAAAGGAGAATCAAAATGCAAAACTTGGGAATAAATCATAGCAATATCATAATTAATGTAGTAGTAGTGTTGCTGTTTATTAATGCTGAAGTGTGGTTTTTCTAACTGTCTGACTTATAATTTGCATACCATTAAATAATGCATAATATGGCACACTGAATCCTGTTTTTCAAATATATGCTTTTGGTGGCAACCATGCAGGATTAGAATTTGTCTTTTAATTTAGCTCAAGAAAGATAATGTCACTGAGTGAGTGGTAAATCCCAAAGAAGGTGATAAATGTCACTAGCTGCTTATTAAATATTCTAATTTTAAGTTTCCAAACATCATGCACACAAACAAATATGAAAATTATTTAGTACTTACATCCAGAAATTTGGGGAAGATTTTATAAGGAGAAAAATTACAGGAGGAAAGAGGTTCACATTAGAATATACCATGATAATGGTAATTCCCCATTCCTTAGAAGTAGTGACACAAAGTTAGGTCCACAAACAGGTGATAGAAATTCCTTCTGGCCTGGGATCAGCAGGTGGTGTAATAGTTACATTGCTGGAGTCCCATTGAGTCAACAGTGGTTCGAGTCCTGGACCCTGTGGCTTAAACTCATGCCAGGCGCGTGTGCATGTGTGCTGAAGATCCTGAGAGGAGAATGGAAGAGAAGGGCTTGCGATGTGGCTTTACTTGCTGGAGGGTAATTTCTCGTTTCTGTGTCTCTGGGGAGCTCAGATTTTTGCCTTGTAGCAAAAATCTCTCTTAAAAAAAAAAAAATCCTTCTGGCCTAGTTTGTTTGCAACTATTCTCAGTCTGGTGTTTCCTACTGCCTGGAGATCCAGAAGAGAGTTAGAAACAATATAGCGTATTAAAAATAGGTTTATAAATAATAGAACTCAGACACCTGTGTATTAGAGATTTACATATTGGCTGAGAACTAAAGTAGGGAAAATCTTACCCACTCACCCTCTGGCTAGATTACCTAGTCTAGTAAAAAGATAGCAAAATAATTGGCATCTGGATTCTTTCCTGCTTATTCATCATAAATAATGACTCCTTATAGTAGTATGCTACATTGTCCTTTATACAGTGCTTTCACATACATTATTTCATCTGATCTCCAATGGGACAGATCCCATGATTTCCACATTATGAATGAGGCGACCAAGACACACCAAGGTTAAGGGCTTGTTAGAGGCTGTGTCAGTAAAAGGGAAGGCAGAGAAGACAGGTTTTCTAGTTTCTAGTCTAGAGCCAATTCCATTGAACTCTGTTTAAGTGATCAGATGGAGTATTTCTCCCTAGGGTGACTCTCCCTTGTTAGCACACATCCATCGATGTTCACAGACATACACGTGTGGGTCACACACACATGGGCCAACAGTGATCATGGGTACAGACACAGAACTGTCTTCCTACCTATGACTATTTGAGTTGCAGAATGGAGCTTGGAGCAAAGGTCCTCCTCGCCATCTCCTTTCTCAGGTTGCTTTTCCATGACAAAGAAATAACTCTGAATGTTACAAGTGGTCTTGATGGGTTTTTGAGAGTTCTTCTCTACCAGGTGAAGATGGATCTTCCAGACAAAAAGTTACTTCATGGAAACTCTCTTTCTGCCCCAGACTCTGCCTCTGTGATGTTGAAACCCAAAACCCTTAGGTGTTCAGTGACATCATTCTCCCTAGTGCCAAGCTCTTGACTGATATCTAGAGAAACACCACTTCCAAAGGGAAACTTGAGTTAGAGCAGAACAATCATGGGTTTGGGGCCGGCTTTAACCTTGGCAACTGCATTTGGTATTCACTACACTTCATTTCTGGTGTTTCCACTTCCATCTTTTATTTTTTCTCTGAGTCAGATTGTAAATAAATGGGAACCTCTAGAAGTGCTGTTTTTGGAGAGGGGGAAGAGACTGAAAATGATTAAAAGGACATCTTTTCTTTCCTCTTCCCTTTAAAGAAGAGAGATATCATTAAGAAAAAAAAAAAAGCCAACAACAACTACACAGTCCCTCATACCGTTTTTAGTTTTAAAAATTATGAAATGGTGTTATGCTAGGGCTAGAACATTTGAAGCCCTACCCAGGATTGATGACTTGGGAAGACATGTCTCTGTGTGATATGTCAAGGTCATGGTTATCCATGAATGGTAGAAGCAAGGGAAGGGACTGATAAATCTGATTGGGGTCCTCACTGTGCCCTCTCTAGAGAGTAGAGCTTCATATTGCAGAGAGATTAATTGGTTGGCTGGCATGAACTGAGCGTGGATTAGAGGACACAGTCCCAGCTATGTGGATGGAGGGACCAAATGTGGGGCATTGTTCTTACCCTCCCATGCCTGGTCTATGAACATTAATTTTGTGGACTGTCCAGACTGTCACACTATACAAAAAGGCCTGTCAGACTTTGGGGTCCACGATGGCAATGAAAGACTCAGAGCCCCTGTAGCATCTTGCATTCAGCCTGTTGAAGATCAGCAGTGCTTGAAAAATAATTGTATTGAAAATCAGTGGTAGTTGAAAGAAAAATCTTAGGCAAGGAGCACAAACTTGGATTTTACTGAGGCCTAACTAAGTGCCTCAAATCTTGGTAGAGTATTTCCTGAGCACTTACTTTTGCTTGGTGTTTGAGACCATGTGGATTAATCACGCCCTCTAAGTGGTCAGAAATATCTTTCAGGTTTTGTATGCAGACATGATTTTTTTTTGTTTTGAGTGGTAGATAGTGAAGTTAATGTTGAAGAAGATGATTATGAATATTAACATTGCTTTTTAAAAAACCCATTCTTAATGTTTATTCCCATAAAGGTATATTATACAAATCAATGTTTCTGAAAATAGTGATAGGATTAGATTGAAGTACTTTATAGGTGAGTGGTTCTCTTCTTAGAGTGTATCACATAGTTTTGCCTTTTAGGTAAAGTGTTGAAGGAAGCAGACTTTGGATTCTTTCCTGCTTATTCATCATAAATAATGACTCCTTATAGTACTATACTACATTGTCCTTTATACAGTGCTTTCACGTACACTATTCCATCTGATCTCCACTGGGACAGATCTCATGATTTCCACATTATGGATGAGGAGACCAAGACTAACAAAGGTTAAGGGCTTGTTGGAGGTCATGTCAGTAAGAGGGAAGGCAGAGAAGACAGGTTTTCTAGTTTCTAGTCTGGAGCCAATTCCATTGTACTCCGTTTAACTGATCAAATGGAATATTTCTCACTAGGGTGACTCTCCCTGTGTTAGCTCACATCCATAAACAGCCTCTTTTGGTGTTGCCAATCCTAGTAGAGGAATTTTTAGTCTAATGAGAGCTCAGAAACAAAAAATGTATTGTAGATATAACTTCCTTCAAGAATTCATCATATCTGATTTTTCTATTTTTAAAGAAATTATTTTTTTGTTTTTATTTATTCATTTTTGCATGAGAAAAAGAGAAAGAAAGCACTCCCAATGGGGCCTCGTCACATTGCAAGCCCTCTTTCCTCTGTTTCTCTATCCTATCAGGATCCTGGGGGATAGACTGGATCCCAGCACACACACTCCCAGCATATTTTTCAAGCCACTGAGCTGGGATTTGAACTGTGAGGAGCCATGTAGGGTCCAGCTCCCTGTGTACAGTGCTTAACCACTGCCCTATGGGACTGGACCCCTGTCTGAGTTCTTAGCCAGCAGGGAAACAATAACATGTCTTTCCTCTGACTCTCTAGTAGAGACGGCACTCTCCAGTTTGCTCTTCCCTGGAGTTACATTAAGCCAAAATACTTCTCACTTCTGGCAAAATCCAGAAGCAGTAATTGTTTTCCTTCCTGAGTGTAAATTAAGATACCTTATTGCTAATCATCTTGCTTTCCATTTTAAAAAATGCCCCAAGGAAATACTTCAGGTTTATAGAAGACTTTTATGTACATGATAAAATCAATTTTCTTTGTGATTCTGTAAATTAGACAGGAAAAGAATAGACTAAAGCGAACGAAACAATAGAATCATTCATTTTATGGATCAGGAGTACACAGGGATAAAGATCAAGTGAAATACCTAAGATCACAAAGCATGAAAAAATGCCATGGCCAAGCTTAAAACCACACGGTTAGAGCCAGAATTGGAACTCAAGTCTCTCAGCTCCTGTGCAAAGGAATTCAAGTGGTGAATTTCTTCCTTGAGACCCATTGAATTCAGAACCAGAAATGGCTAAAAATGTGTACATTTCATAAGGATTTAAGAATAAAAGCAACAGCCTCTTTTGGTGTTACCTAGTAGGGAACATGTGAGCATGTCCTATATCCCAAGGGTTCTAAGTAGTATCCCTCTGACAAAGAACATTTAGGTCGCTACTGGAAGAATTTTTTAATTCACCCCTCCAGTGGTAGAAATAAACCTAAGGACCAAGAATTGCTGAGAGATGGCTTTTAAAGTTAAAAGGGCATAAAAGAACTACTCATCAAACCAAATTCATCTCATATGACTTAAATAGATCTTACAATCTGTTCCATTCTGTAGCTGGGATTTAAGAGACACATCCACTTAATTTAAAATTTGAGGCCACGTTCTTGTTAGGGAGCCCTAAATAGCCAATAGAATGACTTGCATCTTGTTATTGGAGAGGCTTAATTTTGAGTTCAAAGATGGTGAAATAGCAATGAATCAAAGGGAGGCTGGATGGAACTGGTATACAATCTGGGTTGTGAGGATTATTCCACTTAATATGCGATTTATGCCTCATGCTCTTTCTCTGTGCAAGATGAAACCTATTCATTTCCCGTTTGATCAGGGGTTCCTGGCTCTGTTCAGAGATGTATATATTCTGCCTCACCCTTTATTAGATCTACTGGGTTCAGCTCTTCTCTTGCCATCCTCCTTCTTGCCCATCACCCTTTGATTCGCGCTTACTTATTTGAGTGCACACAGGTTGACTTCGAATGAC